TATTTCTTCTAAATTCTAAAATTTTATTTTGTGTTAAATTGAATCTATAAATAAACAAATATAAGTAAATAAATAGGTGAATAAATATAAAAAATAAAAATTGATTAAAAATTTAAACAAATGTGTAAGAATTCAATATAAACATTTTCTTCTCCTCAACGAAGACTTCTGTTTTTTTTGTTTCATATGAAAATGACGGAAAAAAGGAAAACACAAATTTTTTCTATTAATTATAATTATTGAATTAATTTCAATTAACGATGTAAATAAGATGAACGAAACGGAATTTATTAAAATAAGCGCGCATTTGCGATTTATCTTGTTATTGCCATCAGTAAACGAAAAATTGTTATGAAAATTAAAATGAAAAATTGTAATTATTACTCTTCGACGTAGAAACGTATCATTATTGTATAAACATTAAACATCTGTTTTTATTTGGATCTTTCTCGCTATAATTTATAAAATAATAATTTTTTGTCCCGTTTTATAATTTTATATACGCGCTCAACGTAAATTTATTCCTTATAAGCATGACAACTGTCTTAAAAATTTTCATTTAGGTGAAAAAAAACTTTGCATTCTAAGAATAATGATATAATAAATTCATTATAAAAAAATTAAAATGTAAAAAAATTTTAAAAATTTGGATAAATTAATTTAATTAAATAAATAATAAATTATTTTGGTAAAAATTAAACAATTTAAAAAAATACAAATGCAAAAATATAAAATGTAAAAAACTAAAGAAACCAATAAATGAAATTGTAAAAATATAAAAATGTAAAAAGAATAAAAAATCTAAACAAAACAAACAAGACATTTTATTAAAAAATATTTATTTAAAAAAAGAATAATTAAAAATTTAGATTTAAAAAAACATATTTAATTTTAAAAGGAAAATTAATTTAAAAAATTACAAACTTTAGCCAAAAAAAATTATTCCAAACGAAAATAATAATAATTCTTGCTAAGGGATTGATTGCATAAAAGCACTTAATAATATGGAAATTATTTATCCATTCATATTATTTATAAACATCTTTACGTGCGTTCTCTTAAATAAATTGTTACAATTCTACATTTCTTACTAATATATGTAATCAGCCTCCTTTATATTGAACTCTAATAATTGTCACGATATTTATGACGATTATTATTTTTTAATTAATTCAATATTTTCAAGGCAAGAAAATGACGTGCAAAAATTTGCTTCTAAAATGAGAATTTCCACAAAAAAGTAAAAGAATGTTTCAATCAAAAAGACAAATTTTTTTTGTCGCAAAATTGACGTATTTGTTACAAAACTTATTATGTTTGCATACGTATAGAAAAAGAGAAAAAAATATTATTTCTAATTTATTAAAATTTATTAAAATTGTAATTAAATTTCATTTCCTTAATAAGAAATGGGACAGCATTCCAGTAAAAAAATTTACTGAAAATTAATATTTTCAAGAAATAAATTTTAACGAATGTACATGCAAATAAATGAAATATTTGTTTTATTCGTCACAATGTTTATCTATTTACATAATTATCATACAATTTACGAAAGTAGAAAATATTTTTAATTTAATTAAATTAAATTAATTTAAACGAAAATAATTTTCCCTTCTTTTATTTATTGGAGAAAAAACAACATTTCTTCTTTTGCTAACGAAAAAAATCATTTTACATTCCCTCGGATTATATTCTTTCTTTTCCTGTTTCAATTTCATTTTATCTCTTTCGAACTGCAAAAATCATATATGATTTTTCATAATAATTTGAGATTAAATCATTTTTTCTCTTTTTATTACGATTCACAAGGAAATTTAAAAAGTATTTCTTCTTCTTCTTCATCATCATCTTGCTATGAGAACGAACACAAAATACCATCAAATTATTCTTTTCTCTTTTTTGCCAATAATAAATGCAGTCAGAGTCAAGGCAATTCGTAAGACTTTTATAATGATATATAAATTCGCATTCGTGGAAATTGTCGGTACAACTTAACTCTCATCCGCGACAGTCAATAATTTTCCATTATATTCGCTAGGAAATAATCAAATAACAGGTGTTATTGAGCCTTTCAATTGTGTCTATAACCATCAGTTATAAAGTTGTTAAAGAAAAAAAATTAATAGCTTTCCTCGTTAAAAAATAAAAGTCCCATTCAACTGAAATATTATTTTTAAAATCAGTTTAAATTCGCATTTGGAGGCAGAGATAGCGAAGATTTCTTTTCAAATATCTATTTACACTTTTTAGTGGATTATTTCGATTGTTTTAATTCGTTTATTTCGCATTTTTTGTTTTATTTTATTAATTTTTATTTTAGTCTGTTTTAATTTCTACTTTGTTTATTTTTATTTTAGTTTTTATTAATTTATTTATTTTAATTTATTCATTTTATTTATTTTTAGACGCTTACATTAGTATTTAAACTATTTTTTCTAAAATTTTGTTGTTTAAAATAAATTTTTATTGTTGCAGAAGTATTTTAATGTTTGAAATAAATTTTCTTTGATTTCGTTAAATTTTTCTTATACTAGAGGAATTTTTACTGTTCTAACTAAAATTTTCATTGATTTATTATAAAATTTCATTGATTAATTTGTTTAACAAATTAATGAATGAATAAATAAATAATAACAGTTGAAATTTTTATCAAAACATTCATCTAAACTAAAATTTTATTTTTAGCAGCAACAAAAATTTTCCAAAACAATAAAAATCCATCAAATAAGAAAATTTACCTTACAATAAAATTGACCAAAAAAAAGAAGCTAAATCCTGATAACAACAAGAATTTTTTTCAAATTTTTCTAAAATTAAAATCCCAAAGAAATTCGCTAATGAAGTAATACTTTTTTTTTCGTTGAAGAAAAGTGAAACACTTTTTCCCAGCAACCGTTACACTTCTTTTTTCTTACAGCAAATAACTTTTTCCTCCAGTTTCACGCACTTCTGAAAGTGTCACACTCAAGTAAAATAATTTCCGCCTGTTTCCTCACTTTCAAAAATCATTCGAAAATAATTATCCATTATAAAATAGAATATTTCTTATACTGAAGAATATCAACATTAAATACCTAATAATCAAAATTAAAATAATTTAATAATTATTAGTTACAAATTAATATTTGTTTCAATAAAATAAATAATAAATAAATAGAAAATTAATTATGAATAAATTAATTAATTAATTAACATAATTTATTTACAATTAGAAGGAAGACAGATAAACAATGACATAATAAAAAATTAACCAAAAAAAAATTAACTAAATAAAAAGTTCTTTTAACAAATTTTTTAGTTAATTTCTAGTTAGAAATAAAACAAGTAAACAATAACACAATAAAAAATTAAGAAAATAAAAAAATTAACTAGATAAACAGTTAATTAAATAAAAAATTAAATAAATAAAAAGATCTTTAAAAAATTGAAATTTACTAATTCCTAATTACAGAATTAACTTCTGATAAGAAATAAATCAATTTAAAAATATCTAAATAGAAAATTAACTAAAAAATAAATTAGATAAAAAGGTAATCAAACAAAAAATTAACTAAATAAAAAATTCCTTAAAAAAAATAAATTTACTTTTTTACCAAATACAGAATGAATTTCTAGTAAAAAATGAAATAAATTAAATGAATAAAAAGTTCTTTTAAAAAAATGAAATTTACTTTTTCCAAATATAGAATTAATTTCTAGTTAAAAATAAAATAAGTAAACAATAACATAATAAAAAAACATAACTAAATAAAAATTTATTTTTATAAAATGAAATTTACTTTTTTCCTAATACAGAATTAATTTTTAGTTAGAAATAAAACAAGTAAACAATAACATAATAAAAAATTAACGAAATAAAAGACTTAACTAAATAAAAATATAATTAAATGAAAAATAACCTAAATAAAAAGTTCTTTAAAAATGAAATTTACTTTTTTCCTAATACAGAATTAATTTCTAACTAAAAACAAAGCAAATGAAAAAAAAATCCAAATTAGAGACAGATAAAAAATCAACTTCGAATAGGCACAACTTTAGTTATCCATTTATGGTCCACAATAGACTGCGGAAAAATTTATTAAATAAATAGGAAACAAAGCAAACAAAAAATAAACTCCTAACAAGAAACAAAGCCAAGATGAAGAATCATCTAAAAATGAAGAAAAAAAATATCCTTTTCACTCCTATTACTTAAAACTTGCATCACTATAATATACAATTTGCATCACATTTACATCCAGTAAGAAAAAAATAATTCTGAAAGAACTAAGAATTTAACATGAAATATGCATTCTAGTGACAAAACTCTCATATGTATGGTCCTTCTCACAAGAATGTTTGAGAGTGACTGCACGCGATTTCTTCAAGCAACAGGTAGTATAATGCAAGTTGAGTTTGCAAGAAGAAACACAAGCATGGACCCATGATACCAGTCACTGATTGGCTGGAGGTCCACGTGCGTTCTTCCACTTCCATTCTGACGTCAAGTGAAGCAAGGAATAAGGCCCGTGGAGTAAAGGATGATGGTGTGTGATGGTGGGGAGGGGATTGGATACCAACTTCCCTGTGATATTTTTTAGAAGACACCAAATCGTATTGACCACTTTTCCACTGTATCGCATTCGACGCGGATCTACCGGCCGGTTCGCCAAAAAATTTCAAATCAAACCACAAAAGAAGAGAGACAATATTTTCACTAAAAACGAACTCTTTGTCTGCTTCGAGACATTTCATTTTTCTTCCAAAATCAGAAAATTTTCATTTTCCCCGAATTTATTTTAATCCTTTTTCTTCATTTTCCCCAAAATAATTTTACTTCCTTTTTTAATTTTACTCCAAATTTGACTTCCTTATTTAATTTTTCCAAGATCGATTTTAATCCCTTTCTCCATTTTCTCCAAATTGATTTTTGTTCCTATTTTTATTTTTTCCTCAATCTTTATTTTCCCCAGTGATTCATTTTATAACAGAATTTTTTGTCTGGTATCAAAAAATTTGTCTTCAGTTCAAAAAATTAAATTTCCTTTCCCTTTTGGATCATTAAGAATCCTAAAAATTTTTACCCTCAAATTTGCAAAAAATAGACGAGAACAAATTTTTCAAGAACCACAAAAAGTGACAAATATAAAAAAGAACAATAGAGATGGAATCGAGTGATTAAATTACACATAGTGAATTTTTATTTTTATCAAAGAAGAAAAAAAAGTTGTCACACTATCAGAATCGACATTTCCTATCGTTCAAGTGTTTCTTGAAGAAAAAGTGTTGCTATATTGAATACTTGTTTCTCGAATGTGAAATAAATAGTTCAATTTTTCGACTACACGAAATTGGATCAAATTTTCGAAGGGAATTTCAGTTAATTTTCCATCAGAGAAGAATTAGTGGAGTGGTAATTTTTTTTCGATTCAAAATGAAGGACATTATTGCAATTTGGAATAGACTGACAACCCGAAGATACACGGCTGTCAGCACTAATCCTGCTGGGGATGATGGTATCGAAGAGATAACAATGAGGGCGAAAGGATTGCGGAGAAAATCGTCAGTGGTCGTCAATCAATTTTTCAATGCCGCTTTGCCAGTCAATATTGACGGGAAACCACGTTGGAATAAAAGTAAGTGAAATGATTATTTTCAAGTCAGACAGCAACAAATGGAAAATTAAATTTTGTTGGCTGCTGAAGAAAAAAAAATTATATTACTCTCCAAATTTGAATTAGTAAAGATGTTTTATTAATTTGAATTAGAGACTGACTTTTTGCTTTTGAATTAGTAAATTTTACTAATAAATTAGTAGAAATAACTATTTATTAGTAAAATTTACTAATTCAAAAGCAAAAAATCAGTCACTAATTCAAATCAGGAAACATTTTTAATTTTTTACTAATTCAGATTTAGAGAGTGCTCGAACTATTCTTCAATCAAGAGAATTGAATTCAATTATAAAGAAAGAAAGTAAATTATAGTTATTTAAAGAATTGAGAAAATAATCATTCATTTTTGAAAATAGTCCAATAATCGATTACTCGAAACTACAATTAGTTATTAATTATTATTGACTAATTATTACTAATTTGAATTATTTATTTCCAAAAAAAAAATTCGGAACAGAAAACTTTTTCCCATTTCACTAAAAAAATTCAATTAATTTAAATTTAGTAAGGTGCAAAAAATTTAATTCGTTTATATATTTTTTTTTCATTTGGTAATTATGTCTTGAATAATAATAATAGTAATAGATTCGAATAAATAATTAAGAAACGAAAAAATTTTAAACATAAACAAATCAAAACTTGTTAATTATTTTTAATGATCTTAAAATATTTATTATTATTATTCGTTACTCGTCTACACGCATCATTTAATTAAACCGAGTTACTACAAAAATTAAAACTAGTTCTCTACTAAAAAAATTAACAAAAGTAAAAATCATTTTGCATCGAATAAATACCTACAAGATGTTACATTCATTAATTTAAAAGTAGTTGAATTTATTTAAAAAATTACAAAAATTAAAATATCGTACTATGTTAAGGGCAAATTATAAGCAAATTAATTATTTACGTTAATTAACTCACAGAATTGACAATTCACATTGCAACCTGATAAAGAATAATAACAAAATATATAAATAATTATAATAAATAATATACAAATGAATAACAATAAACAAATATATAATAATAATAATATCTAATAATGATAATAATAATTAACAACAATCGTTTAGTAATAGTAATAATTATTTATATATTTAAACTAATAATGATACTTAATAATTAATTGTAATATAATTATTAAAATAGTAGAATTATTAGTAATAATTACTAATTAATTAATTTAATTATTAGTATAACTATTGTTATTATTTAATAGTCGTTGATTAATATTTATCAACAATTTATTAATAAATAAATAATAGAATATTTATTAGTTTTTTATCAATAAATAATTAAATAATAATAATTGTTAAATTAATACCTAATATTAATAATAAATTACTATTTTTAGTCTTTGGAGATGAAGAATTTTTTCACGCTCTAATGAAGACATGAAGTAAAGTAGGGTATTGACTGTGAGATTACGCACGTTGTTAAGATCTTTCCGTATATCTAACATGCGTTTGTTAAGTTGTATTTGCTTTTTACTTTTACCGAACCAACAATTTCAAAATTTAATTTCTTTGCGTTACTGTAATTTCTCTACGCTCATCAAATCAAGCAAAAAGAGTAGATAACAGCAATAAATAAACAAAATAAATGCTTCAAATATCAAGTATCTAGATTATCATTTACTAATAATAATAATAATAATAATTAATATTAAATGATTAAATATTTTTAATTCACAAAGCCTACGATAATTATAATTAATTATAAAAATTTTTGCAACTAAATTTAGATCTATTTAATTAAACCTATACATTAATTTTTTTATTCATTTATTTTTTCTATTTTTTCTATTTTCCTATTTATTCTCCAATTAATTTACAAAAAATTAAATAAAAAAAACAATTAAATTAAAATAAATTAATTAATTCTACCTAAGTGAATAATTTTTTAATTTCAATTAAATTGTATTTATAGTAATTTTTTAGTATAACTTAGTATAATTTATAATCAGTACCTACCTATAAATAAAATGTACAATAAAAAAAATTTTTTTTTAATTAATTTGAATTATTATTTTTGTTACCGATCTAGCTTCAAAAATTGTTGAAAAAATAAAATTCAAAACAATTTTGTTTTCTATACCTAATAAAATATTATTAAACGCTTATGTAATTCTTTCACATGTGATTATTATGTGATTTGTGTGCAAAAAAATCATAATGTTGGGTAGAATTTTTGCTGTTAACACCTTTTTCTTTTTTTCGTGTGTGTATATATATACACACAACAATCGTAATCGATCGTGCGTGATGTAATATATATTTCCATTTATCTGTCAACATAATTAAAAGACTCATTAAATCATAACTTTATTTCGCATTTAATTTATATTTATTCGTCGCAAAAATTTATTTATATGTTTGTTTAGTTCAATTTTTATAATCATAAACTTAATAAACTTTTTGTTTCAATTTTTCATTTACACAATTATTATGTTCTAAATTTATAACGAATAAAAAAAATTTTTTTGATAACAATTAATTCAAAATTAATTAAATTAAAATTAATAATTTTAAAATTATTATTATTATCTACATTTTTTTAACACCGTTTTTAAACTATTTCGCAATAAATGACTTAAATTTCCATATTATTATTAATTATTAATAAAAATTAAGTAATTATTACTTAACAATTATTTAATAATTACACGTAAATTTTTATTGTATGACAAAAAAAATATTCCTGTAAATTTCCAAATAGGAATTCTGGTTTTTTTTCTCAACGATAAGAGTGAATAGAAAAAAACTCATTTTCAATTTCAATTCATGTTTTTAATTTTTCTTATCAAATTTCAAAATTGCAAAGAGCATTTATCTAATTAGCATTTTAATAATATCAAAACGATTAGTAAGTGTATTAAAAAGCGATATACTGCGACATATGTTGCGTGGAAATGAAAAAAGTAGTTTAAGTCGACAGACAGTGATTAATCCCATTTTTTTTATCATGAATCAATTGTCAACTAATTGAACTTAGTTGCAACTCGTTAATTAATTGTGAAATTGATTTAAAAACCTGTTTCATTTCCACGTGTTTATAACATATTAGAAAATATTATATGAAACTCGTTCTTATTCACCGTATTGTCAAATTTGTTACGAAAATTTACAAAAAGGAAATAAAAATCAAAAAAATATTTTTTAAATCCTCAACTAAAATTTCCAAAAAATATTTCAAGTTTTGCAATTTTAAAAAATTATAATTTAAATTATTAGTTTATTAATATATTATTTTCAACCAATTAATATTATATATTATTATTATTATTATTATTATTATTATTATTATTATTAATATTTTATTACTATTATTATTATTGTTACTATTAGTATTATTATTATTAATTATTATAAATTATAAATTATTTAAACATTTTTTTACTTAATATCATAATTTTTATAAATTACAGAACTAAAATTAAAATCTAAATATTTAAATCTCCATTTACAAAAGACGGGAAAAAAATTCTTTATACAAAGTGAGAGATACATATTTTTTTGTCGACGATATTTCAAAAAAAAAAAAAATAATGTACAACAAAGGGGCAAAAAATTGAATAATAAATTACGTTAAGAAATTGCTATTTAAATGATTTAGGTTCTATAGAATCACGATCTAAATCAAAATTCCTACGATTTGAAAACTAATAATTTATAATGTAAAGAGCTCCTGATTCATGAGCAATCCATTCGAATGATTTATATTAGATTTATAAATAGCCAAACGATTAACCGGTAACGTAATGAATATATAGCAACTCAAACGGTATTGAAGTCTCAACTTCCACCCTTATTTGAAACATACGAATAAAACTTGAATCATTTTCATTGTCATTTATATATACGTACATGCGCGTCTAAAGTTGTGTGTCAAAATGTTAATTTTCTTTTTTAATTTATCATCCGGTTCTTTTCGAATATATACTTATAATTAACAATATAAATGAACATTCTACTTTATGGAAAATTATTGCAAATTATTTTTCCATGAATTCATTCTCATGTACAACAGGAATTATTTTTTTGTTCCGTTTCAGTTCCATTGAAAAAAATGCGAAATATATTTAAATTTATTATTCTGTTTTAGTTATATTAAGAAATGAGGAAAGTATTTTATTACATTTTAGTTCTAATTAAAGAAATTAAACAATTAAAAAATTGGTATGAAATCGAAATTATTTTGGTTGAAGTAAAAATATTTTTAATTTAATTTTCTTTATGAATTAAAGAAATTAAATAAAAATAAAATAACTTAGGTAATTTTAGTTTCAGTAGCAGAACATTGGTTTTTATAAACAATTATTTTGTTGTCTCAAAAAAAATTTAATTCTACCAATAGGATTATTTTGTTGACTCAGAGAAATTGGTTCCCATCAACACAGAATTATTTTGTTGTCCCAAAAAATTTAGTTCCTATAAACATAATTATTTTGTTAGCTCAATGACATTGTTTCCAATCAAAACAAAATTATTTTGTTGTCTTATAAAAATTGGTTATAAGCAACATAATTAATTTGTTGTTTCAAAGAAATTGGTTCCAATCAATACAGAATTATTTTTTTGTCCCAAAAAATTGGTCCCTGACAACAGAATTATTTTTTTGTCTCAAAAGAATTAGTTCTTACCAAGACAATTATTTTCCTGTCTCAAAAGAAATTAGTTTCAATCAACACAGAAAAATTCTGTCCCCATTAATTTGTTCCAAGAAAATTGGTCCCTCCTATAAACATAATTATTTTGTTATCTTAATGAACTTGGTTCCAATCAAAACAGAATTATTTTGTTATCTCAACGAAATTGGTTCCAATCAAAACTGAATTATTTTTGTGTCCCATAAAAATTGGTCAATACAACATAATTAATTTGTTATCCAAAAATATTGGTTCCTACAATCTCAATTATTATTTTCACCAAAAAAATTTCTTTCTCCTAATGCATTTA